TCCCTGTGCATGTACAGGGGATGCTCTTTTATTTTGGGGGGGATTTATTTACCCCCCCTATATTTTTTTACAGTTTTCAGATTTTTCTGCACACCTGGGCATTGCCCCACGTGCGCAGGAAAATCTTCCTGCCCACCAGGTGCCCCCGATGTGCGGATTTAGATATCTGCACGCAGGGGACACACTGACTGATAATACAAGAACTACAAAAACAGCCAAGGAAAAAAGTACCAAGTGAGACAATGCAATATTACAGCTATAAAGAATCTGGGAACATACACTTTATAAGTTAAAAACTAAAAATCAAATGACAAAAACAGCCAAGGAAAAAAGTACCAAGTGAGTCAATAAAATATTACAGCTATAAAGAATCTGGGAACATACACTTTATAAGTTAAAAACTAAAAATCAAATGATATTAACCCAGATGAGAAGAAGAACTGGGCATATGGAGCCTTCCTGACGCAAAGAAGAGCCTCTTGGTGTCAGAGGAAGTTTCTTTGCCCGGGAGAAAAGCACCGCAGGCAGCACAATGGATCCACGGGATCCAACCCAACGCACTGCCCACAGGTTTTCAGTTGCCCATATCACCATTTCAGGTACCACCCAAAAACCAGGAAAGGGGGGGGGGGAGGCTGAGTACTTTTTTAAAATCAAAACTGCACTGGAACCAAAACAAATAGGGGGGGGGGGCTGCGCAGCATCCCTAGCCCACGTCCAGAATTAATCATCAATAGATACAGCCATTATGTGGGTAATTTTTAATCTCAGTATTGGGTTTTGGGTGCTGGGAACCAGGGAACCTCCAGGGATAAAAATCTTCCAGGACAGGAGCTCTAGCCAAGGAGAGGAATTCACTGAGTAAAAAAAGGTGTCTGGATCCAAACACACACACACACACACACCATCACTTTATACAATTCAGTTTTATAACATGGGTTATCTTTTCCAGAATTCAACCTGCTACTGAACTCATACAGGCTCAGACTGAAAACAGATCAGATCAACTTCAGTAACAGCTGAACCAGAACTCAGTCCTTAAATCGTATTGCTTTGACTCCTGATCATTTCCTTTATGTTACACTCCAAGGGCAGCTGGATATACAGAGGAATTGTTGGGCAACAGACTGACACTTCTCTAGAGAAAAGTTGCAGCCCTTGAGACCAAAGGAGTAAGACACCCAGTACAGCCACTCATAGACACCGGCACCCAGAACAACGTTCCTGCAGGATTCTTCAGTTCTCAGCCTCACAGATTCTGCTGTTACAACATGACAGACCCCACTTTCCAAGAAACAAGGGAATCTGGAGGATCTTTGCCCTCTCATAGTGCTCTGGAATGAGGAAGAGGTTTTTGCAAGAGGAAGAGAAACAGAGAGATACATGCACGCAGGCAGAACTGGCCAATGCCCAAATACTACAAACTGCCCAATGACAAACACGACAGAGCAATTTGAAACACAGATGGAATTCACACCCATCTGCCAGCTCCTCTGTCCAATGTCAGAGACAATGTTGGCAAATCACTGTCGGTGTGGAATAACAATAATTGTTCATTGCGCTAGGATAACAATATATTTTTTAATTTCTATATTGGGGGCTGGGGTTTTATAGAGAGCCTTTTTAAATGCAGTGCTTTATACAGAGCCTCCAAACAGTTCTCAATAATCCTTGGCTGCCCTCTCAGTGAGGAGAGAATGACTTCCCCGATTTTGCAGATGCGGAGCTGGAACTGAAAGATAACGATCACACGGCCGGTCACTGGTCAGGGTTGACTCTAACCCGGAGGCATCCCAGCTTGCCCCTCGGGCTCTGTGCTACACCAGCTCCAGAAATAATGAGCTCTTTGCAACGATGCCTTCAGGGACCCAAGACTGAGTCCAGTGGCACCTTTGAATAAAACTTTGTTGGTCTTGAAAGGTGCCCCCACGGGACTCAAACCTTGTTCTGCTTCTTCAGCACAGCTTCCCACCTGAATTTCTCTTAAAACCTGCCCCCTCCCCAAGTGGAAAACAAGCAGGCAAGCCCTGCCAAGACACCGAGGCACTGACAAAACAAGGGCTTGGCTTCCAGCAGCTCCCAAACCTCACCAGAATACATTACCTGCCGTCAGTCTCCGCACAGTGAGTCCAGTTGGAGCCCAGCAGCCTCTCATCATTCGGCTTCCATTTGTACAAGTGGATCTTCCCGCCTTCCGTCCCCACTGCAATGAGGTAGCTGCATCAAAAGGAGAGACAGGTCAGGGTTTCTGAAGCGCAGCCTGCCACCCGGTCACACACACAGCATGGTCCATTACGTGGTCCCCCAGAGAACATCCCGTCTGAAACAAAACGAGAGCCCCATGGAGTGTGACTATCAGAGGGAAGCACAAAGAGGTGGTTGCTGGTCTGCCGCAGACACACAGGGGAATGGTGAGGCCGAAGGCTGGAGCAGCGAAGAGGACTGCTCCCCTGCAGACGGAAAGCGGTGGATTCCATTCCCCCCCTCCCCCATTCCGCTTCATCTAAAAATAAAAAGCTTCCAGCAAAAAGAAACCAAGGAGAAACCCTTTGCTTGGCCTGTGGGTTTCATTTTCTATTTCCAGGGAGTGGGGAACATTAAAAAAAGTGCAATACTCCATCAACAGTCTCTTGCATGTGTGTGTTTTTTAAATTGTTTTTGTTTTTTATAAGTCAAACAAATACAGACAAACATACATACATATACATTGAGGGATTTCCATACATCATCAGGTTAACTATTCAAGGACCTCATACACTATATTTATCTTCTAGATTCCGATTTATATTCTTATGTATATCTTTTGCAAATAGTTAAAAATAAAGAATTCTTATCTTATTCAACCCTGACTGTTCCCTAGAAGGGCAGAGACTGAAGCTGAAGCTCATATACTTTGGCCACCAAATGAGAAGGGAGCACTCCCTGGAGAAGACCCTGATGCTGGGAAGGACTGAAGGTCAAAGAAGAAGGGTGAGATGGTTAGACAGTGTTATCGAGGCAACGAATATGAAATTAAGCGAACTCCAGAGTACGGCAGAAGACAGGAGGGACTGGCGTGATGATGGGGTCCATCATGGGGTCGCGAAGAGTCGGACTCAACTGTGCGACTGAACAACAACAGTAGTTTGGCTATGAATCTATATCTTTTATTTGACATATTCTCCAAATAATTTTAAAAATCTTAACTATGTATTTTCACATTTTTGTTCAATCTATCCTCTCTTTTCAATACTTCGTAGCCTTTTATTGCTTATTAAGAACATAAGAGACACCAGTGTTGGATCAGGCCAAAGGCCCATCCAGTCCAACACTCTGTATCACACAGTGGCCAGAAATACCAGTGCCATCAGGAGGTCCACCAGTGGGGCCAGGACACTAGAAGTCCTCTCACTGTTGCCCCCCCCAGGCACCAAGAATACAGAGCATCCCTTGCCCCAGAGTCCCTATCTATACTATACCTTGTGGCTAATAGCCACTGATGGACCTCTGCTCCATATGCTTATCTAATTCCCTGGCGAAGCCGTCCATGCTTGTAGCTGCCACCACTTCCTGTGGCAGTGAATTCCATGTGTTAATCACTCTTTGGGTGAAGAAGGACTTCCTTTTATCTGTTCTAACCCGACCGCTCAGCAATTTCATGGAGTGCCCACGAGTTCTTTCCCATGCATAATCTTATAAACCTCACTCATGTCACCCCTCAGTCATCGTTTCTCCAAGCTAAAGAGCCCTAAGCGCTTTAACCTTTCCTCATAGGGAAAGTGTTCCAACCCTTTTATCATTCGAGTTGCCCTTTTCTGCACTTTTTCCAAAGCTATAGTATCCTTTTTAAGGTGTGGTGACCAGAACTGCACACAGTATTCCAAATGAGGTCTCACCATTGATTTATATAGGGGCATTATGATATTGGCTGATCTGTTTTCAATACCCTTCCTAATAATCCCCAGCATAGCATTGGCCTTCTTTATTGCAGTCACACACTGTCTCAACATTTTCAGTGAGTTATCCACTACAACTCCAAGATCTCTCTCTTGATCAGTCTCTGCCAGTTCAGACCCCATCAATGTGTATTTATATTTAGGATTTTTAGCTCCAATGTGCATCACCTTGCACTTGGCCACATTGAACCCCATTTGCCATGTTGACACCCAATTCAGCAGTCTGTCTTTCTAATCTCCCTTACAAATTCCTTTGTGAGAGAACGGCTGCTCTTAGGTCAGCAACTGAATGTCCTGGAAGGTTAAATTGTCCCCCCGCTGCTTTGAATGTTGTGGTTTCTGATGTCAGACCTATGTCCATCAATTCTTTGTTGAAGGGACTGGCCTGTTTGTCCAGTGTAGAGGATGGAAGGTGTAGTGTATTCCAAAGCTGCCATGGAATGCAGAATGTATGTGAGCCTTTGATGAGGAACTTTATCAAAAGCTTTCTGGAAGTCAAGGTAAACAATATCTATTGGATCCCCCTTGTCCACATGTTTGTTCACCCCCTCAAAGAACACTAACAGGTTAGTGAGACAAGATCTTCCCTTACAGAACCCATGTTGAGTCTGCCTCAATAGGTTTTGTTCATCTATGTGCCTACTAATTCTTTCCTTAATAATGGTTTCCACCAATTTATCCGGTATCGACATCAGACTGACTGGCCTGTAATTTCCCGGATCTCCTCTGGAACCCTTTTTAAAGATGGGAGTGACATTAGCTACCTTCCAATCCTCAGGAATTGAGGCAGATTTTAAGGAAAGATTACATATTTTTGTCAGGAGATCCACAAGTTCACATTTGAGTTCTTTCAGAAATCTCAGATGTATGCCATCTGGGCCTGGTGATTTATCAGTTTTTAAGTTGTCTATCAGTTTTAGGACCTCCTCTCTCGTTACCTCAATCTGACTCAGGTCTTTCAACACCCCTCCCGAACTCAGCGGTTCTGGAGTGGGCAAGCACTTCTCATCTTCCACAGTGAAGACGGAGGCAAAAAATGCATTTAGCTTCTCAGCCATTTCCCTATCATCCTTCAGTACTCCTTTTACCCCTTGGTCATCCAAGGGCCCCACTGCCTCCCTGGCTGGTTTCCTGCTTCTAATGTAATGTGTGATGCAGTGACAAAAAAGCCTAAAGAGATCTTGGGGTGTATCAACAGAGGCATAACATCCAAATCACGAGATGTCATCGTCCCGCTGTACACCCCTGGAGTATTGTGTGCAGTTCTGGCTGGTTTCCTGCTTCTAATGTAATGTGTGATGCAGTGACAAAAAAGCCTAAAGAGATCTTGGGGTGTATCAACAGAGGCATAACATCCAAATCACGAGATGTCATCGTCCCGCTGTACACCCCTGGAGTATTGTGTGCAGTTCTGGAGGCCTCACTTCAAAAAGGATTTGGACAGAATGGAGCACGTGCAGAGGAGAGCAACGAGGATGATGGGGGGCCTGGAGACCAAGCCCTGTGAGGAAAGGCTGGGGGACTCGAGAATGTTGAGTCTGAATAAGAGGATATTGAGGGGGACATGATGGCTCTCTTTTAAGTATCTGAAGGGCTGTCACTCAGAGGAGGGCAGGGAACTGTTCCTGTTGGCAGCAGAGGACAGGAGGACTTGCAATCATGGGTTTAAATTAACGGCGGGAAGGTACCGGTGGGATATTAGGAAAAACCTTTTTTACAGTAAGCATTGTGCAACAGTGGAATCAGCGGCCTAGGGAGGTGGTGAGCTCCCCTTCACTGGCAGTCTTTAACTCTTGTCAGGGATGCTCTAGGCTGATCCTGCATTGAGCAGGAGGTTGGACTAGACAGCCTGTACGGCCCCTTCCAGCTCTGTGTGATTCTATGATTCTATGTAACATTGGACCTATGGGTAGTAAGTGATGCATACGCCATGCAGACATTACAGCCAAGCAGCTGGATCAGACGGCACACAGTCACATGAAACCACATAAACCACAAGTTTCGAGGCAGAACCACAAGCGCCTCAGGGCACCTCCAGCAGCACAGAGTGCAGAGGCCACTGGGGATTTGGGACACACGCAGAAGACTTCCCGGAGAATGCAGATGACGTACCTCCCATCAGAAGCAAGCACGGGGCCAACGCCCACAGCCGTGACCGAGTCATCGACCTCCAGGACTGAAAAACAAAGCTTGGCGGCATCCGGGTCTTCCTTGTTATTCTCCCCCACTGAGCGACACTCGCCCCAGATGACGACCTATTTCGAAACACAAAGAATCACTCACGGAACCTGTTCAGCTGGCACAGGGACTCCCAGAAGAAGGCATTGGGACAAGAGGACTGACCCACGGATGAGCCAGGAGCAGCAGCCATCCCCTTCTGTCGCACTCCTGTCCATGCTGAGGAATCCGCTGTCTCCACGCATGCCGGGGTGGAACCACCGACCTGAGCATTTTAAATATCCACTTCTCTTCACCAACCTGCCCCCCCCTTTGTCCAGCGTCCCTCTTCATCATTTTGTGAATCCTTCAAAATATATGGGGTCACACACACCTCTCAACAGTGGTCGGCCACCCCAAGTACTCAGGCTAGCACAGCACTTCTATTCAAATGCAACAGCAGCAGCAGCAGAAACAAGAAATGTAGTTATGCAAAATACATATACTCGGATTCCATGCTCAGAGCAGCAGCCCGTAAATTCATCCACCTGTTTTCCAGGGGCTCCAAGTTCTCACGGGAGAGAGACACGGGTGTCTCCTTGCTTCCATGAAGAACTTGGCAAAGGGAAGGAGTCTCTCCGTTCAAACGGACCAGCAATTCTTTTTCTTTCCATAGAAATGTCTTTATCTAATAAATTAAATAACCAGAGACAGAGTAAAAACCAGATACAGGCGGACTCAGATCTCCCACTGTCTCAAATATATAAAATTATGATCTACTTCTGCATCAACTGTGACATTGACAATGATAACGTAATACTTTTAGAGCAGCTGAAATTCTCAACGAAGTATCATGACACAACTTGAACATCATCGGTGACTGGGCACTGAGATGCAATCCCTCAGGGAGAACGGTGTCCTGCTCAGCGCCTCCAATGTGGCTGAAAGATACTGCGCTTTGCCCACCCTGCACAGTGATTCCTGGACACCACTGCTTTAAGGCAGTGCCCCCTCCATGTGGGCCAGCAGGCACCCTTTGGGCACAGAGCCATGGCAAACTCTCCCCATCAGAGAAAGAAAGACTTGATTGTTTTTTAATTGTGGCTTGAGGGCCATTTGTACACTGGGTTGACACGAGGTCAAGAAGCACCGCCTGACCAAAGTCGCGTGGGAGGCAGCAAGCCCTCGCTAAGGGCGGCTCCGAGATCCAGCGTGCCCCCCCCTCCCACGAGCTCTTTGTGCAGGACTTGGGAGGGGAAGAGGTGCCAGTTTTCATAAACGATGGCTTGGCCACTGTGCCTTGAGTTGTTACCCAAACCACTTCCCCCACCCCAAAAAGGGCACATAAGACAGTCAACGAAGAGACCATGGATACTTTAAAGACCAACACGCATTATTGCACGAAAGCTTTTGCGGCCCGGAGTGTCGGACCAAGTCACATGCTTTGGGGCTCCACAGGACTTTTTGCTGGTTTTATTACTATGGATTAATAAAGCTGCCCCTCTGAATTTTGTCACAATGGTTAAAGGGAACGAAAGCCAGCTAAAGACATGATAAAGATGTAACTGAAGATCAGTGCAGAGATGTGCCCACCTATAAATAGTTAGACCTGCAGCTGTGGTTGCCAGAATGAGGAAGCAAAGACAGCGGCTGGCAGCACCCAACGGCAAAATATAAAATTAAAATGCCCGTTTGCATCACGGATTGTATGATACCTTTCCTTTAGTTTATGGACTGTCTAAAACTAATTTAAGCAACATTTTAAAACAAATCAAAATCAGAAGCAACAGCTCCAATTTAGCACAATTCTTGCAACTTGCCAATTATGTAGTTATCAGCAAAGGCAATCAGAGATGCTCAAAGGCAGGACTCGTATTTTACAGATGCAAAGTTTGCCTCAGACCAAAACCTGGCAGTGAAATGCAAAAACAAGCAAGCAAGGATGAAACCTTCAAAACCCCCCCCCCCCCAGCAAAGTGGATGAACACAGAGGCTGGCCTGGGGTTCTGGAAAAGCCGTGAGGCACTCCAAATCTGCCCAGATTTGAAACATATAACGATGGGGTAATCCAGTCTGGAAGGAATACTGGCTCCTCCCACATAGAGCAAGTGCTTCTGGAAACTGTGGCCCATTAGCAAAGGTCATAACAAAGAGAGAACAGTCGCTAAGTGGGCACAAGAGGAGATTAATCCCTATTTGGGGAAAAAACAACCCTGTCTTTATAGGACTCCCCCCCCCCCCCCCCAACACCCCCGGCAACTAAGAAAGGATTTACCCCCCCAAAAAAGCAGGGGAGGGGTTTACAGAAGGGTAACAACTAAAGGTAGGATTTACAAATGAAGATGGAGCTCCCAAGCAAAAAGATAGCTCATTGCAGATAGTGTATAAAAAAGCAAAATATTTAAAGCTCTTGGTTCCCTTTGTTCGCAGGAAGAAAAAGCCATTCGAAGGTAATCAAAAGCTAACAACGTTTGGAAAGGCATGCTTAATAAAAGAAGCTCATGGCCAGTGAAATTCCGTAGGCTTGTTTTCAGCACAAACGTGCCCTGCCGACTCTTCCAAACCACCCCACACTTCTCCCTCCCACCCCCCACCACCACCTCAGAAAGGAAGCGTTCCTATCCAAACTTGTGTTCAGGCATACATTGGGCTGGATCCCACAGATGCATCCAGCTTGCCAGGGGACTTTCCTCCAGTAGAAAATGAGCTCTCCGAATGCAAGACATCTCCTGGGTCAGGGGAAGGCTCCCTCCGCCAGAGGAAAACACCTCTGCTAGCAGGACGCGGGGCTGGCAACACGTCATTGGTCCCTGCCTCTCATTTCCCCTGCTCTCCCATGGCCAGGCTTCAGAGGGCCAGGCTTTTGGAATGGGGTCTGCCCACCCCCACTTATGCTGCAAAGTATGGTGCAACTGAAGTCAGTGCTCAAATAATAGTATGCTGAGAAAGAGAGGAGAGGCTCAGGGGAGACAGGAAAGCCGCTGTCCTCCTGCTGAGGGGATTTCCTCTCCACCACTGCTGCAAGCCTTCCAGTGCAGTTTAAATCCTGCTGCTGCTGCTGCTGCTGCTGCTGCTGCTGTTGTTGTTGTGAAAAACCTTTGCATGAACTAACTTATGGTCATCTCTGTAGTCCTAAACGTATGCACCTAAAATGTGGTCTTATTGACATCTCAGATACAAACAGCCCTTTCAATAATGGTTCTGGGGTTCGGGAGAATAAGGTTCTGTCCTAGCAAACAACAGCTGTTCCTACATATCCTCCCACGTCAAAAACCCACTGACCACAGGCAAACCCCAGCAGGTGGGCCGATGGTGGGAAACCAGAGCCCCTGGCTTGGCCCTTGAGGCCAGACCACTGCCCAGGCAGCCCTGCGGGGCCAGCCGTGCAGGAGGAAGCCGTGGTCGGTGCCCCTCCCCGCCCCCCAGACCACTACTACTACTACTACTACTATTACTGAAAACCTTTGCATGAACTAACGTATGGTCATCTCTGTAGTCCTGAGTTTAAATTTATGCACCTAAAGTGCGGTCTTATTGACAGCTCAGGTACAAACAGCCCTTTCAATAATGGTTCTGGGGTCCAAGAGAATAAGGTTCTGTCCTAGCAAACAACAGCTGTCCCTACATATCCCCCCACGTCAAAAACCCACTGACAACAGGCAAACCCCAGCAGGTGGGCCGATGGTGGGAAACCAGAGCCCCTGGCTTGGCACTTGAGGCCAGACCTCTGCCCAGGCAGCCCTGCGGGGCCCAGCCGTGCAGGAGGAAACCACAGCCGCGGCCGGTGCCCCTCCCCACCCCCCAGACCTCCACAGCCACAGGCCAGTCACTGGGCTGCTGCTGACTCCGCGTGTGTCTAGCCAAATGTGACGCCCCCTCTCGGCTTGCAAGCGCACCAACCTCCTCACAGACAGGAGTGCTTCGGTCAGAACGAGGGCCTGCCGCTACCCCTGGCGTACAGCATACAACACCGGGAGCACAACATGGCATCCAGCAAAACACACATGCCTTCGGCGTGCCTTACCTTTTTGTCCCTGCTTCCTGTAACAAAGTATTTGCTGTCAGGAGTCCAGTCGCAGGACCATATGATGCGGCTGTGAACCGCCGTCCTTTGGTCTGTGCAGGCAAAGAGGCTGAAAGCTGGTTCTGGAATGAGACAGGCCAAAAGAACATCACCCTCCCGTATTGCAACATGTCAGTAAAGGCAAGTGAACCATCATCCAGGGTGGGGGCAGCTGACAGATGAAGTGATAAATATATAAATAAGTCTGCCCCCACCCTGCTGGGTGCTGTGCGCCCCCCTCTCCTCATCCTGCTCACCTCAGCAGGCACTCTTCGGCAGCCTCCACTGCAGAAACCTCTGGGGCTTCTCTTCATTCCGTGCCAGATGATCACCTACCAAGTGACTTGGCCTAAGAGACCAGACTGCCCCCATGCCGAGTGGCTGGGGAGCGTGACGAATTTCATCTGCAGACAGCCCTCCCCCAAAGGGCTCGGGGCAGTACACAACATCCAACAGGTACGTTATCAATCAATCGAGGTCCGACATACCTGAGGGACTGCCTTTCCCCGTATATACCCCAGAGAGCACTACGGTCGGGGTCTCAAAATCGGCTGACCCTCCCTGGCCCGAGAGAAGCCAAGCTAGCCATTACCAGGGCCGGAGCCTTTTCAGTGGCGGCCCCTACCTGGTGGAACAAGCTCCCGGAGGAGATCAGGGCCCTGCGGGACCTTTTGCAGGTCCGCAGGGCCTGCAAGACAGAGATTTTCTGCCAGGCATTTAATTAGGGGCCGCCGCTACTGTACGCTACTGTACGTTACTGTAGGCTCCTATTGCAAGCTGTGACAGCAGAGCTTGGCCCGTGGTTTTTAACATCTAACCGACTATGAGTAGAAACATCGTGAACGTCCGGGCAGTGGAAATTTATTCCTGTAATATTCCACCTAGATTAATTTAATTAGCCCCCAGCACTTTGTATTTATAATGTTTTATTGTACGGTTAAATGTTGTATTTTAATGTATTTATGCTTTTATGTAAGCCGCTCTGAGCCCGCTTGCGGGCAGGACGGGGTATAAGTTTGACAAATAAATAAATAAATAAATAAATTTAGTTTAAACAACTTAACAATTAAAACATACATGCACTAAAATTAACCCAGGTGGCATTTGCTGCCAATTTACATCCTTCCCTGTCGGGGGTGGGGAACCACCCGCCACAGCCCCTTTTTGGCCGCTCCACCCCCCCCCTTCACAGGCTTTCAGGGGGAGCAGGCGAGGGGCGGTGGCAGTGCTGAGCCGCCCACCACAGGCACGTTTTCACCATTCCACCCCCCCACCCCTTCACAGGCTTTCGGGGGGAGCAGGCGAGGGGCGGTGGCAGTGCTGACCAGCCCACAGCGGGCATGTTTTCGCCACTACCCCCTTTCTTCACTCTTTCTTCCTTTCTCCCTATCTCCCTTCATTCTTTCCCTCTCTCACTCTTTCTCCCTTCCTCCCCATCACTTTGACTTCTTCCCCCCCCCTTCATCCTCCCTCCCTCCATCTCTGCCTGTCTGTCTGTCTTTCTGAATGTCTGTCTCTGTCTCCCCCCCAACCTTCTTCCTTCCTTCCTTCAATCCTTCCTTCCTTCCTCTCTCTCTCTCCCAACCTATCTCTCTCTCTCTCTCCTAATCTAATCTAATCTATTTTATCTAATCTATCTATCCATCTATCTATTTTATCTAATCTATTTTATCTATCTATCTTATCTATCTCATCTAATCTCTCTATATCTATCTACCTACCTACCTACCACCCACCCCCCCCCCCCTTCTTCGGGCCCCTCTCATTATGTGGACGTAACTGTGCGGTTCGAACACCATAGGCATTCGTTAGAACAAGCAGCGATGGAGAAAGTGGCCTACTATAAAGAATTGGAAGATCAGGTTATGGAAATGATGGGAGTAACTCAGGTACTATTCTTTGGATTTCCTATTGGAGCCAGAGGAAAATGGTACGCACACAATGATCATCTGTTCAGGATTCTCGGTTTGTCAGAAAATCAGGGAAACTGGGCAGCAAGGTTGCTAGCGCGTAGGGCATTAGTATATTCTGTTGACATTATTAAAACCTTTATGAACGCTTGACTTAACTTTACTGGATTGACTTACCTTCCCCCTGATACGATATAACATCAAGTGGCGGTGCTAGGGTTCTTTTATCCCAGCGCTATTTTAGTGCTACTTTTTCTTTTAATTACTATTATTTTACGACGATGGCATTTTTTATGGTCGGAAATAGTCTGGACGAGCCAGAGAGGTCTGACCAACCTCGGTAACTCGAAACCGTAGAGTCTTTCTCTAATAAACTACTCGACCCTCGCGGTGCTAGGGTTCTTTTATCCCAGCGCTATTTTAGAGCTACTTTTTCTTTTTAATTACTATTATTTTACGACGATGGCATTTTTTATGGTTGGAAATAGTCTGGACGAGCCAGAGAGGTCTGACCAACCTCGGTAACTCGAAACCGTAGAGTCTTTCTCTAATAAACTACTCGACTCTAGTATAAAATAGCAGTAGAAAAGAGCAAGAGTCCAATAGCATCTTAAAGACTAACAAAATATGTGGCAAGGTATGAGCTTTCGTAAGTCACTGCTCACTTCTTCAGATACAGCTAGAATGTGTGTCCATCTGTCCTATATTTTGAAGAGTGGAGTAATTTCAGATGTTGAATGACATTAGCAGGCAAAGGACAATAGCAGGTGAATGATGATAGCAGGCATGATTGGATTCAGGTGAGATATGCAGAGGGGTAACAGGCATGGAGAACTCTGCATTGGTAATGAGATGAGAAACTTAGGTCTCGATTCAGTCCAGGTGGATGCATTGTCTTGAGCTTCATTATCAGTTGCCATTCAGCAGTCTACTCCCTTTGAAATTCCTTTGTAAGAGAACTGCTACTTTTAGGTCAGCAACTGAATGTTCTGGAAGGTTAAAATGTTCCCCCGCTGTTTTTTTAATGTTATGGTTAATGACAGA